AGACGGTAAGAAATGGTCAGACAAAAACAGAATTTGAAGGTAGAGCCAAAAGAATTTTCTGTTGGATTAGATATGGAGTCTAAGAGAAAGAAGTGGTCAATGATAATTCTTCCCCACCCCCTTTTGTTTGGCTTGAGAAACTAAAAAGACAAGGTTGCCATTAACTGGATTAAGAAGGAAAAGCAGATTTGGTGGTGGTGGTGGTGGGAGATCTGAAATTCAGTTTCAGACTATTTAAATTACACATACCTATTAGGCTTCCAAGTACAGATGTTGAGAAAGTAGCTGGGTATATTCTGGGGTTCAGGGGACATATCCAGCCTAGAGAAATAAATATAAGAGTCATAAGCATATAGGTGGTGTTTTAAAACAATAAGATTTCATGAAATTATTGAGGGAGCAAGAGAAAAAGATTGGAGGACTGAGCTTATATAAAGATAGAGGAAAACGAGAAAGAATTAGCAGTACCCAGGATTAGCAAAGAAGCAGGCTTTGAGACAGGGAAAGAACTAAGAGTGAGTACTATAGTGAAAGCCAAGTGAAGAACTTATTTCAATGAGCAGGGAGCGATCAACTAAGTAAATGCTGCTGAACCCTTTAGGGTTCAAATAAGATAAGAACTGAGTTTTTTAGTAAAGTGGAGATAAAAGGCTGCGACTTGTAAGAGCAGATTCAGTGGAGCAGTATTTGGTTTATTTGAGTGCCTTCGAGAGGGTAGAATAGGAATTGAAGAAAGCCAGACTAGTCAACTTTGGAAGAATTTTGGTTGTAAAAGGTTTCAGAGGAATGCAGTGGTGGCTACAAAGGGAAATGAAATCAAGAGTTTGTTTCACTTTGTTTTTTTAACTAGTGGATAAATAGGAGCACGTTTATAGGCAGATCGGGATAAAGCAGCAGAGGCAAATTGATGATTGTGGAAATCAGTGTTGAATTGTGCTTTTGAGCAGTAGAGGGAATGGGAGCTGGTGAACAAGCGGAGTCACCGTACAGAGGCAGGAGGCTGAGTGTGAGGTACAAACGCGGGTGGGCAGAGCGGTGCTGAGAGCGTCACTGGTTCTGTTCTGATAGCTTCGTTTTTCTCAACGAAATGGGAAGCAGAGTCATGAGCTAAGAGTAAGGATGGAGAAGAAGGTGTTTGTTTAAAGTTTGAGAAGGGAAAATAAGAAAAGTAATAATAATTTAAAAGAGTAGAAAAGCAAATGGCCTAGGAAGACGAGGTATTGGTTGCTGAGCGTCCCTAGGCTGCACTTCAGGTTTATGGTTATGGATCTAAAAGGAGCACAGGCAGCATGGCCTCACCTTTTCTCCGGTCACAACCAGTTGCACAGGCTTAGACCTGAAATTGGTGAAAAGCAGGGTTTAAGCAAGTTGATGTTTTTTGTTTTTTCAGTAAGAGGGACAACAGAGATGAAGATGTGTTTGACGGACTGTTAATGGTGGCTCACCATGGAACTGAAGCTGTGTAAGGAGAAAGGCGAGGGCAAGAAGGGGTTCGGGTACACGAAAACGAGGTAAAATTGAGTCCAAGAGTACTTGAGGGATGAGCTAACCATTTAGGAGAGATTAATCAGAGAGTAGGACGCTTGGAATTCAGATTATGAAGCTGTTGGGTAAGGATATGATTTAGGTTATGACAACAGGAATGAACCTCTGAGATAGGACAGAAGACACAGTCATTGAAGCAGAGATCACAGTATTGACAGGCCAGGAATCTGTATTAAAAAACAACTGATTCTGATGCAGGGGGTCCAAGGACTGTGTTTTGAAGAAATCTCATTTTAGAGAGTGGACTAGCTGAACATGAAATTTTAGAGTTGAAGCAGGAAACACGAGGGGGTGGAAGAAACATGAAGAATATTAACAGATGTTGTGTATCATGTGTTTGAATGCGCTGGACATGGTGTCAAACCATTTTACATGCCTCATTTTATTGATATCTGGCAACATCAGGTGCCAGAGATTGTTATCATCCTTATTTTACAAATGATAAACATGAGGGCCAGAAAGGTTAAAGAACATGCCTAACAACACCTCTGTCTAGTCTAAACTATTATGTCAGGTGCAGTGTTTGTGACAAAACAGGTGATATTAAAATCCGTATCCTGAGATGTATATAATAGACTTATGGGATTAGAGACTCTTGAGAACAATATTGTGTACAAAGCCCAGTAATATGCACTACCTTATTTAATCCTATTAATCCTGTGTATTAAGCAGTTTGCCCAGATCATGGTGGGGCCAGTAAGTAGCAGAGCCTGGATGTGAATGCTCTTCCTGACCTCCCATTTGTCTACTCCTTCCACTGACTTCCACTATCACTATCCAGAGATGGTTCAGACAAATACTTTACAGCCCAATCATTTTTTAATAAACGTTAATAAAGAAACTGTTACTAGTTATTTCTTTGTTAGAATCTAACAGAATAAGTCTCATATTCCTATGTTTCCATGGGAACATTGGTACAGAATGTCATGCTGTTTTGTGGAATGTTCTCTCTATAAATTCATGTATTCATTCAACTATAATTTATTGAGCAAATAGTTGTGCAGGTACTGTGCTAGGTGCAGAGGATACAATTAGTAAGAAACATCCCTGCTCTAAAGGAACCTTCAGTCAGCTCAACCTTCAGAACCTCAGATACTCTGCAGGGCCAGTTCAAGCCTGGTGCAATTTAAGGCACTGCATTTGACCTAGAATACACTCTATCTCTTAGGACCCAGTTACCTAAGAGATCATTGCTCTCCCCAATGGTTTGGCACAAAGTATGATCAGCTGTAGTGCCCTGGAGATAGAATCTTAGATTTGGACCTTGGGGAAATAGAACCAGGGTGTTGTCAAAAAAAAAAATTCCTACTCCAAGAGGGTCCAATTTTAAAGCTAGATTAAAAATAGACCCTTTGCCTGGCTGGGTGGTATGGCATTGACCCTCATTCAGCACTTGCCACTCCTTCTGCTAGAAATACTGGATTTGTACCTGATGTGAAATGTTTATGGGTTCTACAGCCCAACAACCTCCTGCCAGGCGATCAGGCAAAGGCCTAGTAAGATAGTGCTCAAGGGTACCAGTGTGTAAGAACAAAGAACAATGCATCCAGGGGTGAGGCACATTCTACTTTGACCAGGTTGGTGCTAAAGCAGTGGATAAGCTGTAGCACAAGATGTGTGGGGTGGGTATTTCCACATGCAGAGAAACTTTTGCACTCCTACTTCTTAATGTTACTAATTAAGAACGGCACTTACACTAGTTTGAACTGAGCCTGGAGTCTACAACAGGGAAGAGGGAGGGTGTTATGTTTTGCCTCCAGATTTAGAAGATCACAACTGGTGCTTAGTGGCGGGGTAACACGTGTTGCCTTACTTCTCTCCGGTCTTAAAGCATGTGAGTCACAGTATAATTTAATTATACTCCTCTACTGTTACATTGCAGCAGTTAAGTGAAACAAATAAAAAACGAAGTTTTCTTACAAAAAAAAAAAGAGATGAGGATCTTATATGTATTGGGTTTTTAAAAATCTTTTTGTTCTTTTCAAGCAGCAAAATATTTTACATTCTCTTTCTATCTAATTTGGTGACTCACTCTGATCACAGATTTAAATTATTCGCGTCCTTTGGGGAGCTGTGGGACCACACATCAAGTGTACAACGCCTATAGCTTTAAGAGAAGGTCATTCTTGTGTTTGGAGTAGGGGAGGGAGGTGGCACCAGCTCTCGGCGCCTCCACTCTCCGCCGGCCGGCGGTACTCAGTTTCCCGCGGCTGCGGGTCGGGGCCCGCCTCCCCGCCGCGTTCGGAGCGGCCGCGGGAGTGCAGTGCCGTTCCCCACTTGCCGGAGGAGGCGGCCAGGGTCCACCGCCGGGCCCGCCTGCCCCTCCGCTTCCGGGCCGCGTGTGGGCCCCGGAGCCCTCCTCACTTCCCCGAGCCTGGGCGCCGGGCCTACGGGACAAGCCCGGAGCCTCCGGGCGGTCTGCTCCTACCCCCGAGGGCGCGGGCTCGGGGCTCCTGGAGGAACCACCCGCCCAGCGCAGTCCGCGCGGCCCCGGGCCAAGGGCTCCGCTCTGCGCCTCCGCGGGCCCCGCGCGCCTCTCACACCCCAGCTCCCCAAGGCCGGGCACACCCACTGCCGCGGCCAGCAGTCGGGCCCCGGCGTCCCAGTTAAACCTCGTCTCCCCACCCTCGTCGGCCCCAGCTGCACACCCAGCTCTTCTCCAGGCGCCCGCAGATCAGAATGGAATACAAAGAGGCCTGTGCTCCCCTGGCCGCCGCCCCCATCCGTGCCCGCGCTGCTTCGACCCTTGTGAAGGCTGGACACCGGGACCCCCCCCCCTTCGCGCCCTCGTGCTCCCTCGCCCCCATTGTTGGTCAAATCCACCCAGAGCTTCCGCAATCCCGGGAGCCGGGGCCCTCGGCCGTCTCCCAGCACCCCCGCGGCCGCCCCTCCCGGCCCCCGGGACCCACTAACCCCCTACCCTCGTCGGCCGCTGCTCTAGATCCCGGCCCCTCCTCCGGGGCCCTCCGCCCGCCTCGCCCCGCCCGAGCCGGGGTGGGCGAGGCGGCAGCTGGAAGAGAAGGGATGAGGTCATCCTCTCCCTCGGAGTCAGCTGGTGGAGGAGAGGCGGCGGGAGGAGGGAGCGCGCTCTAGGGGAGGAGAGGAATGTGCAGGTCCGAGGAGCGCCGCGGCGGCCGCTGCTGCTTCTGGGGCTGGCGGCGGCGGCGGCTGGGGCGGCAGCCGCGGGGCCGGGCCCACGAGGAGCGCGTGCGGCGGGCAGGGGC